GGTGACACCCTCCCAGCTGCGGGGACTCAGCCCTGCACACCTGAAGCTTGCTCGGGCAGTTGCTGAGCTGGGCAGGGGCATCGTGGTACAAAAGCAGGGCGGAGCACTGCGGCATTTGCCCACCGGAGATCACCTCCTCACATCCACAACAACAACAGCCACAGTTCATGTATTTCCCTGACCCTGGGTAACAGGAAAGCTGAGCTTGGCCAGTGTGGATGAGAGAGTCATCCCAGGCCGCTGCTGATTTTCAGGGGAGCTAGGTTAGGGTAAAAGACTAGACTCCACAGTGCCCCTACACCTGCACCTGGCCATGTTCATGTCTCCAGGTCAGGCCCTGCTGGCACTGCCCTGCCCCTGTGGGGCACCCAAAGTCTCCCTGAGAGCTCTCCTGCAACCCAGAATGAGTCAGGGCAGGACTAGGGTGAGTGTTACCACCCCCGGAGACCGCAACCTCTCTGAGGCCCAGCTTCTCCGGTGGGCAAATGCCGCAATGCTCCGCCCTGCTTTTGTACCACGATGCCCCTGCCCAGCTCAGCAACTGCCCGAGCAAGCTTCAGGTGTGCAGGGCTGAGTCCCCGCAGCTGGGAGGGTGTCACCGCCTCACACCCACATGCTTTCCCATGTTCACACATCCCTCAGCAGGCACCCTGCTGGGGAGATAACTGACAGCACCCCTTGTGTCAACACAGTGGGGGAGCTGGAGTTAAAAATAGCTAAGTGCTTCACAGTCATGTCCAGCAGACAATGAGAACAGAGACAGGTCAGCTGGGGCAGTCAAGGAGGGCTTCCTGGAGGAGGTGTCACTCCTGGCAGAGGAAGCAGCAGGAGCAAAGCGTGCAGGATTATCTCCAGGGCCTAAGGCAGAGTGGGTGGTGGCCCAGGGCCATGAGAATTTATGGCTGAAAGTCCTCTAGGCTCCCCCCTCCCCCCCACGTTCCGTACTGTCAGCACTTGTCCCCAGCCCGCGGATGCGGATGCAGTGGTGTGCTGGTAAACCGTCCAACAACTGGCTCTCCGCATGTATCGTGCACCCTGTGCCATTTCACGGCTGGTGTCAAGCTGCCCACGTGAGGTCACTGAAGGCCGAGGTGGGAAGAGATGGCCGCATTCTGCTCTCAGGCATGGATGCTTCTTGAAAAGTGAGCTGGAGCCTGTCACCGAGGCCCCCTTGAAAAATGGCCGACGGGCACTGTGTCAAATGGCCATGGTCTCTACACACAGCACTGCACGGACGCACAGACCATGCACGAGAGCAGCTCCCCGCGAATGTGGGCACAATGGGCGTCGCCTGGGCCTTCCCTGGCCTGGTGAGCACCCTGCCAAGAACATCAAGGTCATGGCCACGAAGCAGGGTGGGTGAAACGTCCCCCTTTTGCTCTCAGCTTCAGTTTCAGAAGTGACATGCCCGCAGTGGGTGGAATTCCAGGCTGTCCTCAGGCCGTTCTCTAAGCAAACAGGGGCTTTAGCTCTGATGATGAGATAAGCAACGCTTCTGTGAGCTGTCAGCACCCTTTCTCTGCCTGCCACCCGGCGATGACACTGGGGCTTTGTCCTGTTTGAGCGCCGACAAGCATCTTCAGCCTCTGGTAAAGACGTGGGCTTGTCACCACCCTTGGTGCGCCAGCAGCACTTGAGGACGGGGCCAGTCCCACCGCCCTCCATCACATGGTGTGTGGGTGTCAGTGTG